TGGGGGAACAGGGACTCCCCCAATGCCTGCTGGTCCCCTCTGACTAGTTTGTAACAGGCCACTAGATCCCCCCTCATCCTTCTCTTGTGCAGGCTGAATAGGTTCAGGTCCCATAGCCTCTCCTCGTAGGGCCTGCCCTGCTGCCCCCTGATCATGCAAGTGGCCCTCCTCTGGACCTTCTCCATGTTGTCCACATCCCTTTTGAAGTGCAGTGCCCAGAACTGGAGGCAGTACTCCAGCTGCGGCCTGACCAGTGTCTCATAGAAGGGGAGGATCACCTCCTTGGACCTGCTTGAGATGCATCTGCGGATGCATGACAAGGTGCAGTTGGCCTTCCTAACTGCATCCCCACGCTGCCGGCCCACGTTCATGTTGGCATCAATGACGACTCCAAGATCTTTTTTAGCTTTCAAGTGCTTAACTTTCAAACCCAGTAATATTCTTTTATAATACTCGTTATTGCATGCAACTTTGCATATAGTTTGTAGGTGTCCAATTGCATATCTATAAGCAAGGCCACAAAATACTGCAAAGTATTTATTTATTAATATTCAAAACACACATACCTGTCAACAATAATGCCATGAGGTATGAGCACATATTCCAGATCTCCATAGTAGTGCTGTGGATAAGTGAATAAATCCAAACTGTACCCTGGCCAATCATCTGAAATCTGCATATAGATTAATAACATTAGAAAGAAAATGTACCACATGATAAATACTAGACTACACCCCTCCATACTCAATTTGACATTAGTTAGAAGCTCTGATTAGTGCAAACATTTCTCACATTCAAAATGGTATCCATTTGAAAAATCATGTGATCAAAGGCACAACATAATTGCTACTCAACTGCTTCATTTCTGTCTATTAGTCCATTTCCTCCTAAAACTACTTCTACAAATAAAACTTATTGAATGACTTTAGGTTAGCATTCTTCAAAAATCTGTCACAAAAACATTGTGAACTTATTCCCCAACTCAAATGTGGAATGTACACACACAGTAACCTCAGACGCAGAGGGGACAATATTTAATATTGGACCAGTAACAGGATTAAAGTTTGGTGCATCTGGTAACTTTAAAAATACTGCCAAACTAAAATTGTGAGTGTTATACATGCTATAGGTGATGACAAGAGTCTCAGATGCCTAATGGGATCCAGAATTTAAGAACTGAGACTTTAACATTGTGATATTTTAGCAATAAGAGCAAAAGGAAGGTCAGGGAAAGTGTGGGTCCCTTATTGAATGGGGGAGCCAACCTAGTGACAGATGATGAGGAAAAGGCTGAAGTACTCAATGCCTTTTTTACCTCAGTCTTCACAGGCAAGGTCAACTCCCAGAATACTGCACCTGCCAGCACAGTATGGGGAGAAGGTGAGCTGCTGACAGCAGCTAAAGAATAGGCTAGGGACTATTTAGAAAAGCTGGACATGTAAAAGCTCATGGGGCTGGATGCATCTGAGGATGCTGAAGGAGTTAGCTGATATGACTGCAGAGACATTGTCCATCATCTTTGAAGACTCGTGGCAATCAGGGGAGGTCCCAGACTATTGGAAAGGGGCAAATACAGCGCCCATCTTTAGGAAAGGGAAGAAGGAGGATCCAGAACAGTCAGCCTCACCTAAGTCCCTGAAAAAATCACGGAGCAGGTCCTCAAATAATCTATTTCTAAGCACTTGAAAGTGGAGAAGAAAGTAACCAGGAACAGTCGGCATGGATTCACCAACAGTAAGTCATGCTTGACCAATCTGATTGCTTTCTATGATGAGATAACTGGCTCTGGGGATGCAGGGAAAGCAGCGGACATAATATACTTCAACTTTAGCAAGGCTTTCGACACTCTATCCCACAGCATTCTTGCAAGTAAGCTGAGAAAGTATGGGTTGGATGAATGGATTGTAAGATGGATAGAAAGCTGGCTTGATTGTTGGGCTCAACAGGCTCAATGTAATCAATGGCTGAATGTCTAGCTGGCAGCTGGTATCAAGTGGAGTGCCCCAGGGGTCGGTCCTGGGGCTGGTTTTGTTCAGTATCCTCATTACCTATCTGGAAAATAGGATGAGTTGTACACTCAACAAGTTCACGGATGACACCAAGCTGGGGGTTGTAGTAGATATGCTGCCAGGCTGCAGGGTGTAGTAGATACGCTGGAGGGTAGGGCTAGGATTCAGAGTGACCTACAAATGGGCCAAAAGAAATCTCATGAGGTTCAACAAGGTCAAGTGCAAAGTCCTGCACTTAGGACAGAAGAATTCCATGCACTGCTACGGGGTTGGGACCAACTGGCTAAGCAGCAGCTCTGCAGAAAAGGACCTGGGGACTATAGTGAACAATAAGCTTGATACGAGCCAGCTGTATGCCCTTACTGCCAATAAAGGTAATAGCATACCGGGCTGCATTAGTAGGAGCCCTGAGAGCAGATCCAGGGCAGTAATTATTCCCCTCTACTTGGCACTGGTGAGGCCACATCTGGAGTACTGTGTGCAGTTTTGGCTCCCCCCAGATATACAACCTCAAACATCTTGACTTTCTCCCTTCCAGTTTGGACACACAAACATCAACAAGGAACAAAAGAATAGCTTTTTGGGGTACAATATCTAAATGACTTCTTTGCTGAATAGTCTTTCAGACTGAAGGAAAAAACTCTTTGAAAACAAACAGGGCATGTAGATATACCTATTTATGAAGGATTTATGCTTCTTCATTCTAAGAATTATCCTATCATTTTGGTTACTTAGTTCTATTATATTATTAGACTTGATGTGGCTTCTACCATGTTCATTGGTATATTTTTTTCTGCAGTCAGTTTACTGCATTAAATTATACTTTGAAGAAATAATGCTTAGCTAATGATGGTAATTTTGTAACATAGTTTCTTAGATGCACAACAGAAACTGTTTCCTGTAGAGCTTTGTCTCGTTCAAAGTCATTATTTGTTGGCAATTCATATTTAAAGACAGTATAATCCAAAGACCACTGGTGTCCAGTGTTTTTCCACTGATTTTGATGGGCTCTGGATCTGGTCATTAAAAAGAGCTACTCAGCTGTAGTCCTCATTTTCACAGGACAAGCAGTTACTAAGGGTATGCGAAGCAGGCCCTATTTGATTTGGATTCAGCCCACATCAGGCACAGTGATTCCATTAATTGATTTGGATCACTGTTCCTGATTCGATTCAGCCAAATCTGAATCTGAAGGTTCGATGCTGATTCGGAGAATCAACAATTCACACATGGACACAGCGTTAAATGTTTTTTCTACATACCTCTAAGGACTAGTGTGGCTTGTGAACACTGCGATGCTGGGGTGGATGGAGGGTCGCACAGGAGTGCAGGTGGCCTCCATGTGGTTGGCGGCGAACCCGGAAGCGGACCGGAAGTACTTCTGGTTCACTTCTGGGTCTGCCAGGGTGTGCACTAGGGACCCCTCTCCGGCTTGGCGATCAGCTGCAGGGGGACTCCGGATGTCCCCCCAGACCAGGAGGCACCAGTTGCTGAGCCGGGGAACAGCGAGGGGGACCCCCTGGCGCATGCCCCAGAAGTAGACTGGAAGTACTTCTCATCCACTTACAGGTCTGCTGCTGAATGTGCTGAGGAACCCTCCACGCTCTTGTGGGACACTCCATCCGCCCCAGCACTGCAACATTCACGAGCTGCCTGCTACCTAGAGGTAAGTAGAAAAAAACGTTTAAAGCTGTCCCTATGCCCAAATCGCCAAATCTTTCTGAATCGATTTGGAGGGTTCCGATTCGATTCAGATATTTGTCCACCGAATCAGGCTGAATCTCCGCTGAATTAAATCAGGGACCGAAACTTCGCACAGCTCTAGCAGTTACATCCATCCTGACAGTTGTAAAGTTTTTTTGTTTGTTTGTTTTTTTACTATAACACAACTGCAAAAGGCCCAGAAAACTTATGTGCAAGTCTTCTTCAACTCTAATTTAAATTAATCTATTTACAGGGGACTCATACTTTAACATTTTTTATCGACTTCAGTAGATGCTTTATCTAGTTATGGAGCCCAGGAGCAGACTAAAACAAATCAAAATTGATCCAAAAATGATTTAAAAACAACAATCTTTACTGAAGTTACTATACATCTTTTTACAAAGCCAGTATTGCATTCTAATTCTTCTATCAACCATTCTGCTTCTATCCCCAAATCCACTCTTACCAGTGAAACAACACAAACCATATCATCCTATGATGATAAGGCAGTGCTCATTTTAAAATGAATTTAAAATTTAAGATGAAATTTACTTACGCATCCCTACTGATTCCCATTTTAATGGGAAATCAATAAACTTACTACAGCTGTTCCTTTCGCTTTAAATACATAGCCACCTACCAATAAAAGACCTTGTGAATTAATTCTTTGAAACTGATCTCACAAGGTCCCTTCCAGCCCTAAACTTCTGTGAATCTGTGACCCTACTTCTCATTAGATGCAAACATAGCTACAGCATTAAGGAAGAAACACTATAACATGATTTCGAAGAATCTCCACTGGAATCCCTACTTTTCAGGCCATAGTAATTTTCAGTAAACAAGGACTGAAAGTTTTCTATGCTTGTTCTTAGACAAATGGTGAATTAAGACTATATAAAGAAAGAACCTAAAGGAAGAAACTGTAGCCCATTTACTTGTTGTCAGTCATGTAAGTCTGAAGAAAGGTTTGCCATGCTTTTCAAAAACATATTAATAGTAGAGTAAGTAAAACAATTAAGTTCAAGCATGACATGTATTGTATTCAAATGTGGAACAGCATGCCAACCTGAATAAAAATTGTTGAGGAAATATATTACATGACTATAAGTCTGAAAGCATGATATGTCTGAATGTAATCACTTAGGACATCTGGAACAAAACTACAGGAGTATCTTCTTATGACATGAAAACACACTGGACTGAAAGAACTTTTATAGGGAGTGGAAAGTGGTAATCTGTCAAAAAACAGGGACTCTCTCCTTGTACCTGACACACACAGGCAGTATTTATTTACAGCAGTTAACTTTCATTGCAGTATACAACACGGGTCTGATTCTGCTTTCATGTAAACCGGTAGGCTGGGGCATCAAGCAATCTTCCAGAAGAACATGAGAACCATAACAACGTCATTATCGTTGTAAATGGCACTTCTCATAGCAATTACCATCTGGCTACCCAGTCTTTAAATGAAAGTACATTAACAGCTCCTCCACACATCATAACTGCAACTGTGTGCAATTACAACATGGTGGCTTTGGGGCTATAGTCCAGAGCAGGGGTTAGCAACTCCTGGCATGCATGCCAGAGCCTGGCAGGCGGGAAATGGGCTGGGGCTGCACTGTCACAAAGATCGGATCCCTTGCATCTCCCCTGCGCCCTGAGGCATGTGTGAACCTGCTGCCAGCAACGAGCTGGGCCAGGGCTCTGCAGACCTCAGCACAGAGGATTATAGCCTTTCTGCCACCTGCTATGGGCAGCCTGGACTCCGTGGCAAGTGGCAGAGTCCTGCCCAGAGCCTGAGCCAGTTGGAGGATGCAAGCCGCCGCACTGAGATCTGAAGAGCCCTTCCCTGGCTCGTTGATGGTGGCGGGTACAAGTGAGGGTCCTGATCCTTATTGTGGCAGTGCAGAATCACCCCTTCCTCACTGTCCATCCCTGGGTGCGTGTGCACCTGCTGCCAGCAATACGCCAGGCCAGGGCTCCACAGACATTGGTGCAGTAGATTGCAGTCTCCCAGCTGCAGCCAGCCCTGACTCCAGACCGGCCCCTGCCACCTGCCACAGAGTTTGGGCTGCTTGCAGCAAGTGGCGGAGAGGCTGCAAGTTACTGAGGTCTGCAGAGCCCAGGCCCAGGTTGTTACTGGTGGCAGGTGTGCACGCACCATGGGTTGGACAGCACGGAAGAGTCTGGGGCTGCGCTGCCACAAGTACTGGGTCCCTCCCCCGCTGTCCGGCCTCTTGCACGCCAACATGTTCACCCCCTGAAATTGGCCATACACCCCCTGGAAGCACCAGCTGTAAAACCAGTGTACTTCCAGTTTGGCCACTGGCTTGGCAATCGACTGCTAGGGGGACCCCCACCATCGGTGATCTGGTGTCCCCCCCAGACTCAGGAGGCACCGGCTGCCCATGCCTAGGCCCAAGTATTGTTTTGGAAGCTAATTAAAACACTGCTGGTAACACCGCCATAATGCAAATGGAATGTGATGATAACCTATTCCCTAGTGTTTTTACAGTGTAGATAAAAAATGGCTGCTGTTATAAGCTCATAAATCCCTGGAACTTTACAAAACATGTAGTTTTAGACAATTTCAGTACACCGAAAAGGCAAAATGAAAAGAACTCAAAAGTAGGTTTTTATTATTGGGCCCCAAACCCACATATAAGTGGATGACTAGCCTTTATTTAGGTGCTTCAGTGGACGTTAATACCTGAATATTTTTGTGTACCTGGATCTACATTCCTTCTGTTACAGACCCTAGAGGCAATGCTCAAGACAACTGAACAGAGGCCTTGTTTTTCCTTAGAAACTATGAGTATTGTAATGTTTGACAACTTTGCTAGTCGCTGCCCACTTTGCTTCTACCACTCACAAGCCACAGTGCTGTAAGCACTAGTAATTTAGAAACCAGAGGTTTTTCTCTTTCTCCAGCAGCCAGCCAGGCACACACATGTATCATGGGGCAGAGAAAAACGCAGCGCAGGGCAGAGCCTAAAAGAGTTCGGTTTAAAGACAGGGAGACTGAGCACAGGTTTGAGACCAATGGGGCAGAGCTGACGAAGGACAAGCTGGCAAAGGGCTAGTCACAGAGTGGGGAGGGTAGGATACAGCAGAGCAGATAACAAGCCGGATGTGGGACAGGATCAGCGCAAAGCAGGAGGACTACAGAGATGTAGGAGGAACAAGCAGGGGGGCCAAGGCTTTGTACAGATGTCCGGCAGCACAAAGGCCACAAAGGCCAAAGCAAGAGGGAGGACGTGGCGGGAGAAATCAACGACCCATCCAGGGAGAGATGCAAAGCCCCAGGTCCCGGGGGAAATGGGGGAGCGCTAGCAGTGGGGAGGAAGGGGCGAGGGGGGGAGATGGGAATGCAGGGGATGAGAGCAGCACCCCGGGGACAGGGGAGGGGAGCGCCTGGATGAGGCCAGGGCAGGGCAGGGCTGAGGCAGGATGAGGGCAGCCCGCAGCCTAGGCCCGGCGGCATGAAGCTGGGGCCGGGGGAAGAGGCGGGGGAGGGGGGAGCTTCCATTTACCACAACCCCGCGGGCGCTGCTTCTCC